CCCCCCCCCCCCCCCCCCCCTCCCCGACGCGCAAGGTATGCCCACGTTCTCCGCTTGTTTGCCTCGCGAAAGGTGGGGACACCCAAGAGGGAAGCACGGCGGCCAGCACGGGGGTCGGGCGACGGCTAGCCGAATCGCCCCCGGGGAGAGGTTAGGGGGAGGAGGGGGTATTGCCGCGGCGGGAAAATCTGACTCTCCACCTGAGGTACAGCAGCAGGTGAGACATGGCTGGCTATTGCTAGCGTCAGATATGAGACTACTCTGCTGTCCTGCCTCTTCATGTGTCTACTCTTTTTCTTTTTTTTTTCGTGACCTTTGAATCAGCGCTCACAGCATTTCTGCCGAGTAGCATCAAAATCCGTGGTCGCACGGAAGGACTCCTCTCCCGAAGGCCCCCCACCCACCCCTCCTGCGGTGTTTTACATTTCCCTTGAGGACGCGGGAACAGTGCGCGCGTCCAGCGCGGGACCGTTCTGACGCTTAGGACCCCGCCCAGGCGTAGCGAACCCTTAGCTTTCCCTCGAGGAGATGGCCGTCGATTATGGAAGTAATGAAATAAAAATGTCCGAGGATAGGGGACGAAAAGAGAGCGCGAGCCGTGGGGGGGCAGGTTCTGGCGTGGCAACAAGTCGTCGCGGATGTTTCATCGTGTCCGGGTGTGTGCTCTCTTCAGCCACGTTCGCGTAGGGCATGCAGGGACCGGTGACAGGCACGACCACCAGCAACACCATTTGTGGTCGTGGGGCTTTTCTTAAAAAGAGTCGGGTGCCCTGGGTGCTCTAGTCCGCCGGTAGGAGTGCACCACGCTACCCCCCCCCCTCCCCCGGACTCGTGACCACCCCCATCGCTAAGTTGCGCGTTCCCCCTTTCGCCGTGCTGTTTGGTGCCATCTTTTACCAAATGGCAGGACTTGTACAGCCTTCCCGTGGTGATGGCGCGGATGGAGGCATCGCTGGTGCAGAGGCCTGACCCGGTTGTCATGGAGGCTCACGTACGTCCTGTCCCCCCCCGCCCCTCGGCGCAGGATTTGATGCTCAAAATCGCCTTCGTCGTGTGTGCCCCTTGCGGGTGTCACCATCCGATCCCCGTTTTTGTGCTGGTGCCGGGTTTGCGGCGACTGTGAACGCCACAACTCTCACGTGTGCACCTACCGTAGGTTGCATACGATATCACACCCCCCGGACCGATTTTCAAATCTCGGTTGCTCGAGGACGAAGCGGATGCCGATACCAAACCACACGTTTTTCGGAAAGCTCTCAACGACAGGGTTCCAACGCCGCCATTTTCCGTGCCGCCACTGCTCTTCCTGTCGAGATATCGAGCTTCGAAAATTGGTCCAGGGGTGATATCTTATGCAACCCACGGCACGGGTTCTTGTAGTTGCAGTCGGGTGCCCTCTATGGTGCGGGTTACGTTAGCGCGGGTGCTCACTATAGTGCGGGTGAAATTGGGTAGCACACACGGAATTATCCATTGTCAACATGGTTTGCGTAGTGAAGAATATTGCGGGTGCCCGCTAAAGTGCGGGTAGAAGCGCCTGGCAAATACCCGCACTATTGGAGGCATCCGACTGCCGTACATGAACGCATCCCAGGAACTGTCCCTAAATTTTATCAAGTTTACGTGGTTGTGTCGGATCCAGGTGTCAAGAGAGGATGGCTTTATTCCCTTTCCCTCCATCCCCCCACTACGCCGCCTCGTGCGCCTATCAAAAAGAGGCCAAGGCTTAGGCAGGAAAGCATCAGTTCGTGGCTACGAAGAATCGAGTGTTAGACTATATATATTGCCTGGGTGTGTACTTGGGCACACCCAAGACAGTTTTGGGGGAGAAGAGGGGGATGATCGAACCGGACAAGAGAGACGGTACCCGGGTCCCTCGTTTATCCCGCACACATGACGTCATCGTCGAGCCGGCATGGCGACGATCGTAGGGGATTATGTCATACCGCCCGTGTTGTTCGAACAAGCTGCCACCATCTTCTGCCATCATTACTAACACGCACACTCCCCACCCGTCGCGCGCGTACAATGCAGGCCGAAGCTTACGTGATGGACCGTCAGTTCGCGAGGGCCGTGCGCGTCTACCTGTCCCTGGCGGAACACCAAGCGGCTTCGGAGAACGGTGCCCGGCTGCAGCACCAGCAGCGAACGGACGGGATCGAACGAGCCCCCCAAGGGCCGGCGCGGGGCCGGCAGGGGTCGTCGGCGACACCGTCGATCACCCATGGCGTCGGAGCTGGTGATGGGGCCGGCAGCGAGGCGCAGTACAGCCACGTGTTTCGCATGATCGAGCAGCACTCGCTGTTTGACGCGGTGCAGGTGGGAGGGAGTCCTGCTGTTGGGAGTTGGCAGCGGGCTGAGATCGTATGACGGTAGTCAAATGGTCGATGTGTTTCATGGCGCGAAACTCTGGGTGTAGGGCACAGGTCTTTGGAGGGAGAGAGGGGACGGTCCGACGCAGTGGTGTAGTGCGTCTTCCTTAGACTCTCCACTTGTCCAGGCCGTGAAGCACTCGCCAGGACGGACTCAATCGGGGTTTTGTCAACGAGGAAATTTAGTGTTGTTGAAGGGGAGGAGGGCTGTAGCTCTTCTGCAGGGCGTGACAGTCGACTCACCAAGTGCCACCACCAACTTGTCTTAGGCCCCAAGTAGCGTTGTTGTTGAGACCACGACGTAGACTATATGGTCTGCTTTGTGGCGCCGAAGCAACGTCGAGGCGTGAGAACCACAGGCGCACAAAGAGTGTGGCCCATGCATGAGAACAAATTCCCAAGCTGTTGTCGGTAGCCAATAAATTCGCACATCCAAGCAGGAAAACTCGTTCAGGTTGGTCGTACCCCTGGTAGCTGATGTGGCATTCTACGGAGCCTCTGGTGTGTACCGTATGTCTCGCGCCATCTAAGTGAAACGAGGCACGTAGTGCTGCCAAAACACTCGAGCAAAACGCATAGCCACAACTCGTTCCACAGCCAGAGTCCCGGGTTGACCCCCCCCCCCCCCCCCCCCCCCCCCCCCCCCCCCCCCCCCCCCCCCCCCCCCCCCNCCCCTTGCGACCACAAAGGACCGGGTGTTGCAGCTGATCAGACTCGACAGGGAGCTCACGGGAGAGCTTCTGCTTCGACACCCGGAAAAGTTCAGCGTTTCGTCGGTGGTGGCCCAGCTCAATGGCAGGAGAGACTTGCAGCACTGGTACCTGGGGCTTCTGTTTGACCGTTCTCCGGAGATGTACGGGGCTCAGGAATACGCGCCGTATCATGCCCTACAGGTGTGTGTGTGTGTGTGTGTGTGTGTGCTTGTCGTGGGCCTCGTACCCGCTGTCGGTTCGGTCGTTGTTTTGGGAGACACGACCAGGGTGACAAAAATACTGCCGCTGTTGTGATTGTGGTGACTTCTGTGGCGGTTGTTGTTGTTGTTGTTGTTGTTGTTGTTGTTGTTGTTGTTGTTGTTGTTGTTGTTGTTGTTGTGACTGTCTCGGTTGTTGTTGTTGTTGTTGTTGTTGTTGTTGTTGTTGTTGTTGTTGTTGTTGTTGTT